TTGATTTGAAAGTTTTCCTTGATCAGCAAAATCATTAGCAATTAAGAAACTACCATCAACAAGCTCAAGGAATCAAATACCTCAAAGTGTCCTTCATCTTTCTCAATGGGCTCATCTGCACTTTCTTTGTCATCAGAATCCAGATCCTTCTCAACATCATCTCCTGTAAACTGCAATATTATGCATTACATATATGTAACCCAAAATCAGTCAGTATCACGCATTTTGTACAATCAATGAGTTCAAAAATTAATGCCAAGGCAGCAATCAAGAAGCCCTAACATTCAACTCGATTGTGGTATAAATCATTAGTTTATGTTAAAACCACATATCAAACTTCAAAACCGCACCAAGCCTCCAGAGATTTTTGTAGTTACCTTAGGAGTCTTAATTTTTGTAATTTCTAATAAAGAATGATCATTTATTGAGAATTTCATCATTCGCAAAATGGCAAAAACCGATTCATACCCGTTCAATATCATCCTGATCCTTTCTAGTGAAGCCACTTGCAGAAAGTTCCTTGTCTAAGAAACCAGTAACTTTCTTAATATCAGCAAAGCTAGGCCTGCCAACTTCCTCTGAGTCTACCTTGGAATCATCCGAATGACCAGCATTTTCCTCGAAAGACAGGTTGAACCTGCAGCAGTTTACCAGAAAAGGAAGTAAGACAATCGCATTAACAATTATGCCAGGTCCGAAAAGATAACAGATAAGCTAAATAATGATATTAATGCAACACAGAAAAACCTCTGACATAATGAGCCCTAAGAAAACTTTGATAAGCCATCACTAAACCATTTTATTTTTGTTTCTTGGATAACAGATTTCTAAAGTTTAGCTTCTAAAGTCATTTTTTCCAACAGATTCTCCAGCTCCAGCATCAAATGAATTAACATGACCATATCAAAAAACATAATCCCCTAATGCTACAACGTTGTTGGATATCATCGTATAGCCTAATTTCTATTTGCAGTTGCAACCCCACAATTATCTTGTGAGCAATCAATTAGCAATGGCTATATCAGCACATCAACTAAGTCACCTGGTCAATATGCCTGAAGTTCAGTGTCCAATTGTACATACTGCCAGTTTACTAAAACAACTTTCCAGTCAGATTTCTAGCCATCAAACTGTCAATGCTAGCAGAAAAAATTCACTAACCTCTTACTGAAAAACTTGAAGATACATTCTACATCACGATCAAAGTACCTGAAAGTTGGAACTCTTATAAGAAACAATGATGACAATTGACAGTATTTAGAGAATGAAATGATGCAACAAGCAAGGGGGACAAAATAAAAAGACAAGCTAGAGTGTACATCAGTAGCAATAAACATACATCTGAGCATTGTGATGAGAGACTGACACCATTTGTGGGAAATCAATCATTGTCACCTTTTCATCATCATCAATCTAACACAAGCAAAACAGCAAGGTTAAAGGCAAGGCAAAACACATGTGGAGCTAGAAATAGAAGTGCTATGTTCAGTCACAGCATTGGAATTACCTAATTATCTTGACAAGTAAAAGTAACCTTTTCTTTTTTGGGTAAGCAAGTTGCCAGAAATATAAGTGGTTAAGTAAAGACAGTCGAGACAGATAGGCACCTTAACAGCCCATCAGAAAAAGAAAATTCAAAAAAAACAGGAGACTTCTTTTACTTTTTCCCTTTTTCTAATGAGTACAAATGAAAAATATTGCACGCGTAATATAATACTTATCAGCATACCATGATGTTGAATTCGTTAAAATCGCAGTGAATAAGCCCATGCTCAGCAAGACGAACAACAAGGCCAACAATCGTTTCAAAAACCGTATCTGGGTTCTGCAGTTCCTTAACCTGTACACTACATTACAGCAGGAAATAACGTTTAACTGTGCCAGAAAAGCATCTTGCATGAAATCCAAAGGTACACAAATAAGGTATACTTAAGAGAAAAGATGCTATTGCAGCAGATAGCCACTAATTCTTAAGTTTCAGCAGAACATTCAATAAAAATTCCATCCTGATGAGTAATGCCTAACAGAAATTATTCCTGACACGTGCCAGCCCAGACTAGTTGAGCAACAGAAGTTTGGTCCATAAGGGGAGAAGCTTTCCATGTATTCTAGTTGATATTTGAAAGTTTTGCTACTAGTCTTAACATGAAAGTAGAAAGTTCATCTTTTTAAAGTATTTGCGGTTATTGGTAAGCACTTACAGTGGGTATCCTTGGATGAGTGACATAACAACACAGTGTCTGTTGCTATCTACTGCAAGTGGAACAGGAAAGCCATGTTCTTCCAAAGCCTGCTCAGTCAAACTATCAGCTAAATGTCACAATCAGAAAAGCAGAAAGCGACAGCAGAGAGAGAGAGAGAGAGAGAGCTAAAGAACCTTCATGAAGGCAAATTCCTTGAGAGCAGCAAGGCGCGACAAATAGAGCCAATTATAACTACTGCGATGCTTCAAATAATCACGCTTAGACTTGACAGCTCTAAAAGATACTCTACCAAGTCTGTGCAGCTTCATTGCAAGGATGGTGCCATCTTCCTTGGCCACCTCAAAAATATCTTCAATAAGGGGACAAAATGTTTCAACAGTCTTTGTCAATACATTGAGAATGAGAGCAGTTAAAACTCAAGATACGAAAGAAAAGTAGGGATTTTTAAGTAAACAACAAAGTTACCAGACTCTTTGCCGACACCAATTTGACGACCAACGGCAGTGAAAACTCCCCGATTAACCAAGGTTTTGATAGCGAGGAAATCATAACCGAGGTAAGTGAGTCGAAAGCCATCATCTAACACACATCATAGAACAGATAATGACAAATCAGATTATTGTTGTTGTACAATTTAATCAAGATTTTTTTTCCAGGAAGCACAAGGATTTACAAATTTATAACTCAGTGGGCATCAGAATGACAACAATCGTGGAGCTGAAGTAAGAAGTAGGGTGGGGGGGGGGGGACATACATTTGGAGGAGTCATGGTGCAAGAGCTTGTGCTTGAGCAAATTCTTCAAGACCTTATAAGTACCTCCGTGCCTTTCAAAATGCAAAAGTAAGAAGGAATAGTTTCAGACAAAGCAGAAAGCTAGAAAAGAGTTGAATAACACATAGCAGGTGAAATTTGTGAATATAGCCGTAAGTGTGAAGTGACAAACGAGAACAGTTGTAGTATAGAAAAGGGAGGGAAAAGATGGGGACTTACTTGAGGGAGGCGATTCGGTCAATTAGCTCTGAGGGAACAATCTCGTGCTGAAAATATAACAGAAAGAAAGCAATTTAGAAAAGAAGAAGCAAAGATGAATAAGAAGCCGAAGAGAGAGAGAGAGAGAGAGACATTGCGCATTCCCATTTCGACGGCGGTGAGAACCCTGAAATCATCCTTGGATAGGTACCTCAACACGTCCACATCCAACTTCATCCTTTATTACTTCTAGTAGTACAGCAGCCCGGCTACTTTTAATATGGAAATCAACAAAAAGAATAACAGGCGGAGGCGGAGGCGTGGGCGGCGGACGCCTGGACGGCCGGTGGTTGTGGTGGAGAGGGTACTTTTTAAGCGAGTTTAACCTGTCTCTGGATTCAGTTGAGTTGAGGATGATGATGGCGGCTTGCTTGCTAGTGCTGGACGGACTTTGAGAGAAGAATTATACACTTGATTTTTTAGGAGTTGGGAGAAGAAGACCAAACCCAAACCCACAGCTGCTTTATGTTAAACTGTTTGCTGCTACTGCATCTATGATCTTACAAGAAGAAGTCGGAGGGACTCAGGAATCAGGAATAAAAAACACACACACACACACACACACGGGTGGTGTTGAGCTCATAAACCTAAGAAGATGAAGAAGCATAACTGTCTTGTTTCGCTATTTTGACCTTGGGCCTGGCCTGTCTATTCTTATCTGGACATCCTCCACCCCAACTCTAAAATTTTTAGGCTTGGATGGATGGATCCACCATCTCAGTTAATGGGTAATACTAATAGAATAAATAGATTTGCCATGTATGTCGAGTTCAAGTCAAATCGAATCGATTAGTTAAATTTGAGTCGAGTATAGAGAAATTCAGCGCGTCGAGGTGGCTCGAAAGTTAAATTTGAGTCGAGTATAGAGAAATTCAGCGCGTCGAAGTGGCTCGAAAGTCTATGTGCATATATGTATATAATTATAGTGAAATTCCAATTATATTCCTAGTATTTTTATTATTTATTATGGACAAATGACTATTTTATTTATTTTTAAAAAATAGAACAATTATTTTTACATTTTAAAGCTCAAATAAGCTCTCGGCTTCTAGCTCAACAAGGGTCAAATTTGAGATCGAATTGAAACTCGAGTTTTACATTAAAAACTCATCAAGCTCGACCTCGAATTCGAACATGGTAAAATTGAATCAGGATTCGGTTCGACTAAACTAAAATTTGATTCGACTCGTTTGCGGTCTAGAACATAGCATCGAATTGCTCCATCTCAAGTTCAATCTCAAATTAGTTGCTAATTCTTGAGGCTTAAATAGAATTCTAGAACAGATAATGAAATTGATTGAGATCCCAAGCTCAAATTCAAGTCTGACCAACAAATCAGTGAAATCCAGGCTTGCTACACTAAAAGGTGTGATCGAAAGTGACTCTCTTACAACTCATCTGCATTGAGAAAAAGCAATTTGTTCGTTTCCTTCCGATGTTGAACAGTAAAGGACGAAAGGTCCCTTTTCCTTGATATTTCATTTCATCTGCTCCCCCCGCCTATCTTCAAAACAACATCCCTTTCTCTTGATTTTGCACGACGTAATTATAAAAATTGCTACTACATGACATATGTATAAATGATAGTAAGAAATAAAAGAACCGTGTTGTATTTCTGTGAATATGTATTGAGTAGACAAAATTTATGAGATGAACTGACTAATTGGAATTGGGGGAGGGGAGAGTTGAGGATGGATATGGAATGACGGGATGATGGGATGTTTTTGGGGGGTTTTTTTTTTTAATCCTGAAACACTACTGTGGATTTACAGATACGTGTAGGAGGCATCCCGAGCGTAAGAAGGCATAAAAGCCAAGACCATGAGCAGTCCCATAATGCAGATTGGAAGCAGAAGCAGGAGAAATGGCGGAGGCGGCAGCGGTGGAAGGACGAGAGGCAGCAGCAGCAATGACGCCGTCAGGCAAACCAACAGAAACAGCCCCTGGAAGCTCAGATAACCGGAGCTGCCGGAGAACACCTTTTTCCCCTGCTGGGACAATGACCGCCTGTATTCTGTTTTCTTGCCTTCCGTCGTCGTTCCGTTCATCATCTTTTTCACAGGGAAAGCATTTGTACCCCGGCCCCGGCCACCGGTATTGATATTGTTCCCAGCAGCAGCAGACGTCGTTACATCCATGAAACTGCCGCCGGCCGAATACAGATGATGATGATGCCGAGGATGATGGTCTTGGAACAATCTCAAGTCTCTTGCTCCCTCCGAAGGCCGCCGCCCTCCATCTCCAACACTACCCATTTCCAACATACAATACAACCGACCAATCCAGTAGTATCAAGCAGCAGCAGCAGCAGCAGCAGAAGCAGGTTCGTCTTTAATTAAAATCTCAATGCGGTACAGATTTCCTGATAATTGCCAATTAAGTTGATGATTGCTTATTCCTAATATCAGTTGTTGATTTGGCTGACAATTTCTCCTTCTTGCAGTACTCTAAAACGAATCTCCTCTGATATTGAGAGGAGCCCAGGAATTGAGCAGCAGATGCAATAGAACAAGAGGAGGAAATGATAAAATGGATCGTCAATATCTGTTATCTCTCTCTCTCTCTCTCTCCCCCTCCCCAACAAATGCCAAATTTGAAGATGAGTTTGATAATAATAATGTATGGGATAAGCTATATTTATTCGGGGATAGGGAATTGTTGGTATCGGAGAAAGAAAGAAAGAATGAGGAGAGGAAGAATGTGATCATAAGGGGATGGAGGAAGGAGGAAAGTTTAAGGCAAGTTATTTGAAGAAGAAGGGAAGGGGTATGGTACGTTATCAGGGAAGGGAAATCAGGGGGAAGATGGGGTGGTTTCTGGTTTGAAAGGTGGAATGAATCAAGTTGGAATGAGAAATCGTGAGATTGGATTTCAGAAACCTCCCCCTCAATTTTCTGACGATTTCACTTGCCACCCATAACGTTTAAGAAAAATCACCTGTCTGACGATTTTAAGAAAAATCACTTTGGAATGAAAGTTGCCCTTTAGTTGTGGTCCTATAGTTGTAATGACAAATCAATTTAAAATCTCTTGACATTTAAAAACTTGACGGATGCATTTTTTAATAAAAAATTATCAATTTTCACAAATCTTATCGATAATTTGGAGACGACTTTTAAATTTAACAAATTATAAATAACTAACAGAGCATGCAAAAACTATTTGAAATATTGTAAAGATGAAGAAAATAAAACTTTTTTTTTCTCATTCTAAACATCTCAAATAAGTTTAAATGTAATTTTAAACATTGATCACTTTTTCTAATTTTCAAGCCATGGATCTGGATAAAAAAGAATTAAAGATTCTAAACGACTTGTACAATTTATTAAATCAGCTCAAAACAATTTACATAAAAGAAAGGTTTCTGATTCTCATTTACTAATCTAAAGCCACACAATAAGCACATGGATAAAATGAAATTGAAGTTTTAAAATCGTAGCTAAAACCCTAAATTGCCGAAGAAATCTACAATTTTTCCAAAAGAATAATAATAATAATAATATAGGGTTTCTTTTTTGTTATGTGACTTTAGTTAGAGTGGCAAATGGACAAACCCTAAAGGGAAAAAATTCTGGTAGATAAATTTTTATTATTTGTTTGTACTTTAGAAAAACATGACGTTTCTTATTATTATTATTTGTTTGCACATTAGAAAAACATACTATTGCTTATGATTGTGACTGTTATATCTTGTCCCTTTAACATACTGCGTATGATACATCTTCATGCCTCTAACAAATGGAAAGAAATTATTTTTTAATCATCATATAATAATTTGAATCGGTTTGAGAATGTTACAATGGTTTAAGATTAGGGGAGGCAAGTAATATTTTTAAAACTTTAAGGATGCCAAGTGAAACTATCATAAACTTGAGGGGAAATTGAATTGTAGTACTGAATCATATGATTCGGTGCAGGATATTTGTGGCATAATCTATGTGGAAAGAGACCAAGAAAGATAGAGGGGGGAGAAAAAAGAGGAGGATTGGGGGGGGGGGGGGGGGGAATGGGGTTGGGTTCAGTGAATAGCAAAAAACAAGTGGGGGCTGCTCACGTCCAACGACCAAGTTGATGTTTTCTCGGTTGGAAACTCGATGGGGTGTACGCCCCCACGGCCAAGGTTCTTCTCCCCTGGACATCACCAATCAAACTTCCCCATCCTTTTTTTTTCCTATGCATTCATTCATCGCTGCTTTCTTTATTATTGTTGGTGCCGTTGCGCAATCTTTTCTTTCCCCATCTTGCTACGTTCCTCGGCATCTCATCACTCGTTCCATCTCCCCCGCCCCCACTGAATTAATCACCTCTTTTAGTACTACTACAGTACCACGTCTTGGGAGAGAGATGTGTACGTATGTATGTATCTATATATATATATATATATATATATATAGAGAGAGAGAGAGATCCCGCTCCCAAGTTCCAACAAGACGGACCCTCCCTTAATTATAGAGTTCCAGAGTAGTAGTAGTAAATACTACTACACTATAATATTCTGAGTAGTATTATTTTAGGAGCAAGTATATATAGTCCACAAAATGCTGAATATACTACTGAACTGATAGTAATATTTAAAGGTGTCAAAATAGGTGACTCGTGCGGGTTTGAGTTGGTTAAAATGAGTATTGGGTATAAGTGAGTCAATATATTTATATCCATGTAATTAGATGGGTATAAATAGGTTAGTCAAAAAAAAATGAGTTAGGTAACCCAATTACCCATTTATAAGTATAACCCATTTATTTTAAATTTTTATAAACTCAATTGAATTCATTTTCGCAAAATAGGTTATCAATTTATACTACTATTTGCACCCATCATTAGTTTTAAATATTTGCTTATAATGCTCAATAAGCCTAATTATTAATTTTTTTTCCCATTCGTGCTCCACGTCGCAAAAATTGCACACTATTTAATAATTGAACAATAAGAATATAAAAATTTGAACTAAATCCTATGAAAGTTAACATAAAAATTTAATCCAACAACTTTGAACCCCAAGCATTCTTTTTTCGTGTGCAAATTTAAAATTTCATTTTGAAAAGGTAGGAAAAGACGTTAAAACTTGTCATAAATTGGTAATACTGAAAAATGAGCATGGTAACAAACTAAGAGAAAATAAAATGATAAGATGAAATCAACAAATAATAATAATAATAATAAAGCAAAAGTAGTTAACATTATGACAAAATGAAGAATCTAAAAAAAAAAAGGGTGAGAGAAGAGAGGATGCTTGAGGGAAGACAATTCTAATTGGGTTAACTGAGTTTGATGGGTTACCTAATAATACCCATTTAATAATGCATATTTAATAAATAAGTATTATTGGATAATCCATTTATACCCACATGTAAAAATTTAATATATCCATATCCATACATTCGGCTCTCGCTTTAGCCTTATGTCTTATCCTTAGGAGGCCAGCCTCCACTAGAAGGCTTTTTCACGGACACTCATCATAATTGTTGTTATGATTGAAATGGAGAGGGATTTTTAACTCAATATTGATGTATCAATTTGTATTTTATTACTCGTATCATTAGGAAAAGAAAATATCCGATTTTGAGATTCAAACCGTTCATGAATTCGTAGTCATCAAAGGTCCAACTGATCACCAAACCTGTATTCCAGTCAAAGTAATAGGAATTAGACCTAACGCGATTCAAAATAGAAAAACTTCAATCATTTCAATTTATTTGAATGGACGGGGTACTAAGTAATAAGAGAGAAAATGGTGAGTTAATTTTGTGTTGCTGGGAGACGGCTGGCTGTGATCTCAAGTCATCGGTCAAACGAATCCAGCATCAATGCATATCGAGGTAGTCAGGCCGCATCCATCCGCCCTTCCATTGAATTTACCCATCCATCTCACAACAACAATTACCAAGTACTGCCACTAAAACTTAAATTCACTATTGTCGATTCCATTCCACGTTAATGTACTCGTGCGTACGTAAATAGTCGCGGCTGCCACCTTTGCATTAAAGTATTTATATTGACCAAATCTACAACCCATCGATCATCTTTCTTCGGAGTCAGTCTACTGAGTCGTGCGTACGCCCGCCCGTCCAAAATATGTTGGCTATTGCTGTTCTTTGGGATCGGCTCGATGATCTCGAAATAGTCTAATTAGATTTGGAGATCGTGCGTTCGAATCACCTCTCGATCGTTTGTGTATTCTTGGAGGACGGGATGCACAGACGCAGAAAGATTAGTGTATCAGAAAATTGAAATACTCCTCCCTGTGTTGGAAAAAAAATATATTACTGCCATTTGTTAACCAGTTAGACAGCAATTAAAGATAAAATCTTTTTTGTTCAAAACATTACACAACAGCAATTTCATTTTTTTTTTTGGGAAGGAATAAAATAAACAGAAACCAAAGAAAAAAGATATACGGGTCTTGAAGTTTGGTAATTGATGATACGATGCATCGTCAATGGATCAGAAGGGAAGGAAAAAAAGGCAGAAAGAGAGCAAGTAGCCCAACGAAGCACGACACAATAGCAGAGGAAGAAATCGAAAAGCACCTAATAGTAGTATACGATAAGATATACAGGCACACCAAACTGCACCTAATTAGGAAAACCGGTCAGCAATTCATTGAATTGAACCTCCTCCTCCTCCTCCTTAATGCACCACCCCTACGTAACTACGTGCTTAAGCCTACCATCTCTCCATTCCCTATATATATATATATATTTCCTCCATCTCACTTTGATAGTCCTGTATTCCTTTTTCATCTGTTCCAAATTATAGTCCACTTTCCAATTGAAGAATGTAGGTGTATTTTAATTTTTCTAAAATACCCTTATTCAATGTAAGTAGTTGTTACTATAAACCTACCTCATTTAATGAGAGTTGATTCTTTTTTTACTATCAATTCAAGTTCCCATAAAGTTGTACCATATTTAATGTGAGGGTATTTTAGGAAAATAGCAATCTAAATTTACTTTGCCAACGCAGTTAACTACTTTTTCTTAAACTGTGTGAAAAAAGAAATAGAACTATTAAAGTGAGACGGAGGGAGTATATGATTAATCTTTTATGCACTGACAGTATATACACTGTCATGGTTAGATGAATGCTCCGCCACATATGTTAAATTTAAATTTCACTTATGTGATATTTATCTAACGGTGATAGTATATACGCTGTCAGTGTATTGTATGTGTGTGTGTGTTTTTTTTTTTTTGAAGGAAAAGCAACTTTTTCGTCTTTGATGTGAGGTGATTATAGAGCTTTAGCATTATGA